GATAAAGAGAAAAATACAAGAGAGATGGAGAGAGAGAGACAGACAGAGAGAGAGAGACGGTGACAGAGAGACAGCGAGAGAGACAGAGACAGACACAGAGAAACAAAGATGGTGAGAGAGGTAGACAGAGAGAAAGAGCGAGAGAGAAGAGACGTACAGAAAGAAATAGCGAGAGCATGGGAGAGAAACAGAGAGAGTCGGAGAAAGAGAGGGACAGAGAGAGAGAAGCGGATAGAGAGAGAGACAGACGCAGAGACCAAGAGAGAGCCGGAGGGAGAGAGGGAGCGAAACAGAGAGCGAGAGGGAGAGAGAAACACAGTGACCGCAGTTCTCCCACGTACAAAAGAAAGACCAGAAGGAAGAAATAAGTTGTATTTGATTCAACTTCTGCAACATCAACACGGCTCAAAGCTTTGGACAGGGATTCACGGTGAAGTGTAGTGACTGTGTGTGTTGTGGATGAACTCGGCAGCCAATTTACACACAACGCGCAGGTTAGCGCCTCACAGCGCTTGACATTGCTGAGCATGATACTGAGCCGGTGGGGGTGGGGGGGGGGGGGGGTGGGGTGACCGTAAGCACAGTCGTAGAGGAAGGTTTCAGGTCTCACGCAGCACATGAAGTGAACGACAATGTTATGTGACTGACTGACTAACGGACAGACAGACAGACAGACAGACAGACAGAGACAGACAGACAGATAGAGAGAGAGAGAGAGAGAGAGAGCTGGTGTTAACCTTCTCTCTTCCTCAGCCAGACTCCCCTTACCTTGAACTCGATGGTGATTTGAAATTTAAGGTAAGAGTTTTTCAGCGGCTCAAATGTCAGGTAGGAATAGCCATAGAACCGGGGATATTGTACAGGGACATCTGTGCGGAGAGAGAGAGTGAGCCGTCATTACACAATATAACACACATGTGTACAGCTCTCGGTTGGGAACTGGGTATCTGACACACGTGGAAACCCATCGAAGCACTTTGAGACGACCTGTTTTTTTTTCACACAGTGAGTTGTCGGGATCCGGAATCCATTGCCTGAAAGGCTGAGGGAAGCCGACTCCATAACAAGAGGGAAGTGCATCATTATTTGGGGAGGACAAGTTTGCAGGGCTACGGGGAGAGAGCGGGGGAGTGGGGTTGATCAGGGCTACGGGGAGAGAGCGGGGGAGTGGGGTGATCAGGGCTACGGGGAGAGAGCGGGGGAGTGGGGGTGATCAGGGCTACGGGGAGAGAGCGGGGGAGTGGGGTTGATCGGGGCTACGGGGAGAGAGCGGGGGAGTGGGGTTGATCAGGGCTATGGGGAGAGAGCGGGGGAGTGGGGTTGATCAGGGCTATGGGGAGAGAGAGGGGGGAGTGGGGTGATCAGGGCTATGGGGAGAGAGCGGGGGAGTGGGGTTGATCAGGGCTATGGGGAGAGCGCGGGGAGTGGGGTTGATCAGGGCTATGGGGAGAGAGCGGGGGAGTGGGGTTGATCAGGGCTATGGGAGGAGCGGGGGAGTGGGGTTGATCGGGGCTATGGGAGAGCGCGGGGGGAGTGGGGTTGATTTGGAAGCTCTTTTTCAAAGAGCCAACACAGACACGATGGGCCGAATGGCCTCCTTCTGCGCTGTATGAATCTATGATTCTATGGTGTGAGCGGCACTGTCCTGCCCCCCACCCCCCCCGCCACTCTAACCCTGTGGCCTCTTGTTCTACTGTCTCAGTGTATCTGACAGCGATGATCTGGGTTTACTTTTCAATCCCATTTACACGTTTACACACCTCTATAAAGTTCTCTCCCTCCCCCACTCCAGCCCACCTTGCATTAATAATCCTTGCATTTGATATTAATATTAATAATAATATCCTTGCATTTGATGTAGCGTTTTCACGTCGGGAGGACGTCCCAAAGCGCTTCACAGAACACACTGTAAAGTGAATTGACCGTATATTTTGTGGGCGAAACACGGCAGCAAATTGCGCACAGCAATGTCCACAAACAGTCGTGGATTGAGTAACCAATTTATTATTATTATTATTTGTTATTTTGAAGGGATTGTTACTCCCGGAAAGTGATCCCCCAATCGACTAACAAACGGGTTCCTACTGACTGCTGGTAAACAGAGGCGTGTGGAGTAAGGAAACCTGCCCAATGTTTCGCCCCCTGCCCGGGAATCAAACCCGGGTCCTCTCGTTTGCGAGGCGAGGGCTCTAACCCCTGAGCTACAGGATTGTGTGGGTATATGTCTGGGGTGTGCCCGCACCCTGCAGGTTCTCAGTGTTGCTCTCACCATCGCTGCAGGTCTCGCCGCCCTTGCCCAGGTTACAGTGGCACCGGCAGCCTCCAGTCTCGTACTCGTTCATACAGAAGCTGTCAACAGGGCAAGTGGCCTCCTCACACTGAGTGTCCAGCACCTGCCCTGCCTCGCCCCGGACCTGGGGCGTCCGTCTGGATGGGGCCGGTCGTGGGGGAGGCAGTGTGTGGGGGGTTTCGTGGGTGCTGTTGTGGTGGTCTTGCTCTGTGTCACACTCTCCGTGGGGTTAGAGGTCATCGGAGTCTGGACTCGGAACTTCTTTCCACCCTTCAGGGCAGGAAGTGACTGAAGCTGGAAACACAAGATATTTCCATCAACAACAAATACAACTTACTCTGATTGCCATCTCCCTCTACACTGTGCGTCCACACTCCCAGGTCAGGGTTAGAGACACAGTAACGCTCCTCTACACTGTGTGTCCACACTCCCAGGTCAGGGTTAGAGACAGTAACGCTCCCTCTACACTGTGCGTCCACACTCCCAGGTCAGGGTTAGAGACACAGTAAAGCTCCCAACAACAACAACAAACAACAACTTGCATTAATATGGTGCCTCAGGCAGGGGTAGGGTATTAGAATATAGTAATGACATGGAGTCCTGAGAACCAAAAGTTATCACGGTCTAGACCAATGGATCAACATGTAAAACTGGGCACAATTCAAAATTCTGTGAATTTGGAAGTCAAATTTTCATAGAGACTGTCTCCAAATTCAGGTTGGAATTGAGAATATTCCGAAATAGTCCTAAATACAGCCTTAAAGACCCGCCTTCGTGTCTCACCTGAACCACGGCATCTCTGACACGCAGCTTCCTGTCCAGCATTGTGCCGGAGCATCAGCCTCGAC